GTAACTGCCCGGTAAGCATAGACGGAGTCATAATATATCGTGGCATGTCGAGGATGGTGAGGGGGTAAACCTGTGTGGATGTGAACTAGGGCACCCAACCAGATAGGATCATATCGCGTGACGTTGACCGGTCCATAGAGGGCTGCTGTCCACTGAGACTCCATGACCGGTTCAGCATGATCGAAAACTGCCACCCCCCATCCTGCTACCACATCCGGCCCCCCTGGATTGGCGCCCCCTGATCCATCCGTAAAAATATGGAAGCTACGTGGGAGGGGGTGGTGAAGGCCCCGATCAGGTCCAGCTACCTGGCGCTCATCATCTATCTGGTCTAATCGCGCCAACCGTTTGGTAGCTGGACAATCGTGGCTTTTATATGCTGTGACACGGCGGAAGGTTTGCATGCATTTGGTACACGAATAGGCCTGCACTGTGGTCAGTGTTGGCGTGCATACCGAGTGAGTGGCCTCATAGTGAAACGCTAATTGATTGCGCTTGTCAAACACCTGTTGGCAAACTGGGCATGTGGGGGTATCCCCCCCCCCCCGAGGTTTGCGTTTGATGTTTCGCGGCCGACGGGCATACACACGATGGTCTGCTTGGACATCGCCACCTCTACGTCTTTCCCCACTCGGGAAGTGGATCCCGAAGTTTCCAAGCATCCAATTCTTGTTCCCTACTAGGTGCCACTTGTTCAACTGGAAATGCTGTGAGGACCAACGTGCGCCATTGACTCTTATTTTGAGCAAGCCTGAACCAGTCAATTTCAGAGATACATTGGGCTTGCTTGAACGGGCAGTGTTGTTTAGCCCCTGCATTTTCCAACCAACCGATTCCGAAGAGTAGTTGTTTCTGAGGAGCAGAAGTTGGCATACGCGCTATATGCCCCAACCATAACAAGGAGGCACGGCGCGCAGCCGTAAGGAAGGGCTCCCATTGTGCAAGACGACACAGAGTAGCGTTGGACAAACCTCGACGACGCAAACTGTACGTACGAATATTAAAAGCTCGACGGACTGCCAGATGGATAACAGCTTGTAGACGATGAATTTGAGAAGTTTGCCAAGACTGGGTGCGGACAAAAGTAAACAAAACTCCCTTAACTACCGCTTTCAGAACTCGGATGCGAACTGAAAGCTTGAGATCCTTCTTTCGCCTGTTCACCTGCCTGCCTTTAGTCCAGGCTACCGATATTTGTTCAACTCTTTGTACTCCTTGTCATGGCCGCCCGGGCTGTATCCGCCTGATGCCCCGCCCGTTCGGATAAGATGACCCCTACGTATTTGAGCGTGGAAGTTTCACCCAAAAAAGGTACGTCATACCAGGCTCTGGTCTGATCACAGACTCGCAGACCCTCCGTTTTATGAGCGTTGACTTTGCCTGCGAAATCCTACACCGTTTGAACAAACAACGTTTCTGCTGGAGCAACTTCCTGTGCGTGACCGACTATGGCAGTGTCATCCGCGTATGCAAAATCTCCGATCCTACTTGTTTTGATGTTCCGTCCTTCTTCTTCTCTGTCCCCTTTACGTTTGGCCACTCGGCCATCTACCTTGTAAGTCCAGTCCACGCCAGGTGAGATGCGCTGCTCATGAGCCGTCCTGCCTCGTCTGCCCCTACTGTCCGTAGGCTCGAAATTGGTCGCGCGTATTTGTGCCGCGCGTTTTCAGCGCTGGTGTCTCCCATGGCTGAATCCATACCAATTAGGGTTTAAAGCGGGTTCCGGGGTAGACGATATACATCAGATCATCAGGTTACACGTCGATTACTGGAGTAAACAGCGCAGTCGGTTCACCCCCACACCATTTTGTTCAGGTTTTTCGATTTGGAAAAGGCTTACCCTAATGCGCCCCGCCACGCACTTTGGCGGTTACTGACGATCAAAGGTTGTCCCCCCAAAGATTGCAAGGTCTTAAAAGCCATCCACGACGGCGCCGCCAGCAAGGTACGTTTTCAGGGATTTGTGTCTAGCCCTTTTGCGCCAAATCGTCCTGACCCCCCAAATTTCAAGTATTCTGCTAACATCGTATCTTCCCCCCCGGCTTTACCTAGTTTCATGTCTTCTACTGCTTTGAGATATTCTTCCCACGTCGCCATACCCTCCAGGTCAGCACACACTTGGGTTCACGTCACCAATTCCCGCCTGAATGGCTTCGAAATGGTCCTTCCAAGATTCTACCTCTGCCTGACTGCCTGCCATCCTACGGCTCCCATCCCCAACCGGCTGTCCGACCGCCGCTACCAAGTCTTTACAATGCGAAACACGTGGGTAGCATCCGGTGAGCACTCGGTTTGCTTCATCCGCCTTGCGACGGAGCCACGCTACTTCCCATTCCTTTAATTGCCAGAATTTTTCTTTCCTCACCTGTTTCAAGTGTTGCCTACACTGTACACCTCAGAATGACTTGGGCAGCTCGATCGGCCTGTTGGGCCGCTGCAATGCGGCAATCAAAAGTCTGAATTTCATCACCATGTGTACGTAACCAGGGAGCTCCTTTATGATAGTGCAAAATACCACAGACTTCAACAGCGGTACGGCGACAGTTACCTCGCATTTTAGATACATCCGGTCGAACTTCCGAATGAGTCGGAGTAGACCCGACGGGCAAATAGGAACCGACTTGCTGCATCTTTGAGGTCGTGCCGCAAACACCATTCACGCCATTCCTGGCCGGTACTAGAGATTTTTGGAAAGGAAAAAGACCCCAAGACCTCCCAACCGACCCGCGTCCGATCCTGACAATTCCCCATTTCGGAATTTATATCGCCCATGAGCACCAGAAAGCTCGTAGCAGGAGCCATGGACATAAGCACTTCAACAGCATGACGTAACGCTTGACGACTTTCCTTACCTGACGAACTGGTAGGAGCATAGGCCCCAACAACATAGAGACCGCGACGCCATCCATCGCGCGGGAAACCCAAAGCCGCAACTCACGGCTCCTGTGTATGCAGGACTGCCCCCCCAGACTGCCGCCGCGCCCACCAGTGTTCTGACAGAAGGAAGCCCACCCGTGTACAGACCACCAGATACCAGGTACGGCCTAAGTGGTGATAGGAACGAACGCCGTTTTCTCGAAACGCGAGCTCCGTGAGCACCACCATGCCCCACTTTTGAATGTGCATGCGGTCAATGATGTTCTGTATTTTTAGGGTTTGGTTAATGTACCCTGCTACCGCCCCCAGACCTCGAGTGTTCCAAGTGGCCAGTTTCCATTATGCACGGTTTGCTTTAGCTTCACTCACTTTGCGCCGAAGACGTGTGAGAATGCTACGGGTCCGTTTGCGTTTGCGGTGAATTATCTGTCGTTTCAATTTACCCAGTTTGCGACCTAAAAGCCGTAGGTGACGGCGGCCATCGGCCCGTGCCACTGCACGTTGACAGTTCCAGTGCGACCGCAGAGTACGGAGTCTGTGTTGGTAAAGCATGCTCGGAAAAGTCTACCGACTGAGTTCCCCCAGTGTCAGCGTGAGGATGTTGAAAAAGTGAAAGACAAAACCCCAGGACCCTCAAGTTCCGAATCAAGCGTTGTCCCTCCAAGCAACGCCTCAAGTGTACCGCGCGGGCACCTTTGGTTCAAACCAAGTGGACAGCAAACCCATGACAGAAACACGGTGACTGCCAGCCCGAGGACCGACGGGGAAGGCGGAAACGCAGATGCGGATCCACCCTACCGCCCCAGGGGTTTCCCTGACGACTTAAACGGGAACCGCAGATCAGACTAGTCTCTCAAGTACCGTCAAGGAGACTGCTGACAAAGTCAGGGTGGGATTAGCTTACCTTCAGACTTGACCAAGTACTCCCGTGTTGTGAGAATCTGGTTGTCAAGTCTCCGTCCTGAGCTTCTCACAGGAAGAACTCGCATACGCACCCGCATGAACGCTACCCATAAGCACGACCAAGTGCAACACTAAGGGACTAAAATGCTGCCGAGGGTAATTGACCGTAGGCCGCCCGCGTGGAGGGCGATGTCCATCGGTGGCCCACAGCCACGTTTGATCAACGAGATGTCACACGTGATGTTACCTACAAGATCCATATAATGTGTTGTGTGTCGGCTTTCACCTTTCACTTTTCAGCTTTTTGCAAGTTTGTGCGCGACAACACCCGCGCACATGCCGCGGTGATGCCCAGTGCCCAGGAGACTTTGTCCCGCACTTCTTGCTGCTCCTTACATTCTTATGGTGTGCGCAGCGTTAGATGGATCACTCCTGCACTTCAGTCTTACAGCTCCAAGCGTGCCGATGGCTTCCGGAGAAGGTGCCCACTTGACTGACCATGTCAGAATGAGCCTTGAAAAAATCAAAGCAAAAGGTTGGCCAAAAGGATGTCCAAGTAGACCGGCCCTTCGAAATTTCGTTGATATTGACCGTGCTTGGCTTTAAAGGAACGCATCCATCGAAGCCAGCACGTAAAGGCTGGCTCGCAAACAGCAGTTTCCCAATTCCGTCCGAACAGTACGAGTACCGGCTTTGCGGCGCCGATATGTGGAAGTGCACCACTGGTCGCAAAAGGCTTTTCAGCATATGTATGCATATGTCTACAGCGCACAGCTCAAACCTCTAGGGAAAAAAACTCAACTGACTGGAAACATTTTTCTGCACTGAGCATTTGCATTTCTGTCTTCCAAGTCTGCATACCTCAGCGGCTATCTGTTTTCCATATCTCCGGCAAGACATGTCTGCATACATTTCTCACGTGCTGGCAAACAATTTCTGTCTATGCCATGTAGAAATTCAAGTTTGCTTCGTCTGTTTTTCCAACAATCTTTTGGTCCAAAGGAGGGTATTGTATTGGTGGGTGGGTGCATATACGCATATATATATATACATACATATGTACAATATAATATATATATATATATGTACGCAGTCAGTAATGTACAATTTATACTTAGACTTATATACATGTTATATAAGTATTGTTCAGTCCTGTCTACAACGCCACGTGACTGTGCACCTGTTTGTTGTGCGGCGGCGTCTTGCATTGACCAAGGTGCCCAAGTACGCGGGGGCACCACTCTGCAGCAAACCCTTGCACGAGGGAGCCTCTGCAGCAACACGGACGGCGAATCAACAGCAACTGTCTTCACGTTCGTCAGGCGCAAATCGCCTCACAGCTCGCTTCGCATGCTGGGTGCATATCAAACTCGACACCTGAAAGAAGCCACAAAGGCGACAGGCCACAGCGCCCCAAGTGCATCACAAGGCCAGCCAAGGAATCGTAAACCAAGGTGCAGTAGCTGACTTTCTCAATCTGCCCATCCGGGAGGAACTTGCGCGCATAGCGTTCCCCTAGGTCTGAATCCCAGACCGCAACTAGTAAAATCAAGCGCTGGCAATGGACACAAAAACTACTTGTTGTCCGGTTTCCTGCCTGGCGCTGAACATTACTGGACTTTCACATCCACCAGTCCTAGTTTTCCTCCCAACCTATATACGAAGTGCCTAATGGCATGGTGCCAGAGAAGGGTTCACCTGCACCGCGGTTCCTAAAATGTCACTATGCAGTTTCCTGTGCCAAGTTATACTAACTCGATAAGCTTATATACAATCAGTAAAAAAGATTCTGGGCGAGCGAGTTTGCCGAGGGGGCGAAGCCTATGGCCCATGGAAGCAAGAATTGGTTGACAGCCAGATGTGGCAGGCGCAGCAACAAGGTCGCAGCAATCTTTCCCGCATCGTGATCTGTTGATGGGGGTTCAGAACTGTAATCATTTGGGAAGTCTACTGCGGCTGATTCGCGTGGCTCTTCGCGCTTGAGCAAACGTTCGTCCAGTTTGATGTGTCTCAAAACATGTCAATTCCAACAGTCAGCCGGCATCAGCAAGGCACAAAAGAGGCCAGCGCTGCAAGCCCACCAAAAGAACAACGGCGTGGCGTTAATGTGTGATGAAAAAAATGTGTTTCATGTTTTTTCAGGAATTGTTGTTCAGAATCCTGGGGCCTCACAGCTCGCTGCTATTTTCCGCAGTGTGGGTGTCCTGTCTTACAACCCTTTGGACATACACCCGCCACATCTGCAGCTAACGTCAGTAGTTGGGGCCTCTTCTAAGTTTTACCCCCGGCTGGCTCACAAAAGGTAAGGTACGTCGGAAGGGGTCGAAACTTTATCCTTCGGTGGCCCACCAAAGGCACGCTACATTGGAGTGGCTCTTTCCTCTTCTTCACTTCACTGCGCCTTCGGAGCTCCATCTCTGCCGCACCTTAGTGAAACCTAGGCTCTTTCCTCTACTAAATTCCTTAAACAACCCAAATGGTTGGGAGCCTTAAAGGGTTACAAGGGACAGGCCCGTTTTGGATGCCAGCCTAGCTGCGGCAAAGTAAGCACTAGGGAGCAATGATGAGTCAGCTTGGGGAAGACGTAGAGTCGAGCAGATGTCGCATAAGTTGTTGGTGCAATGCAGCATGGACGACATTCAACACAAACCAGTCTTCGCGGCAGGCTTTAAGTGGAGGAAATAGGACTCCCCCCAGAGCGAACCAAAAGAACAAAAACAAAAAACAACAATCGGAAAAGCAAAGGCCTGCACCAAAAGCGAAAAAGGAAAAGACCACAAATGAAAAAGAAACATGCAAAAGAAACAAACAAAAATCTTTAAAATATGCTAACAATGATGGAGAAAATTGCCTTCAAATGAATGCTTAACAAAAACTGCGATTTCCAGACGCTGAGGAACTTGGAGCGAATGTAGTGCCTGTAAGACATTACTGTATCTAAAAACATGGTTTCAAAAGAAAAAGGAGGAAACCGCTACAAGGATGCAGGTGGCCTGGCCTCATTCTAAAGGCAGGAAACCTTCAAAAACTGATGTTTGTAACCTCGATACCTGAAAGGAGGATTCTGTGAGAAAGGGAACGCATTTTGCATTGGATGAACTTTCATGAAAGACGAGACTACGAGGCCCCCAAAAGCTCCTAACCAGGAGTCAGGAGTGGTTCCTCTAAAAATTGCCCAATTGTCCAAAGAAAGGTGATGGGACGCCTATTGGGGGAGCTGTTGATGAGTGATGAACATGTTTGCAAAAAGAAGGCCAACGACCTACAATGTGAAAGCATTTGAAAAGGAGACAGAAAGCTTTGTGTTGGGTGTGGTCTGCCCCTTTTTCAAGCAAGATGCCGTTGCGTTCAACGGAGTTGAAGAGGAGACCTACTTGAGGACAGTGGGGACGAAAGCGAGGGGTGTGGAAGGATCAAGGGGACGCGGAGGGAGGGCAGCAACGCAACGCTTTTGTGCCACGAGCGCAAAGTGTTGTTGGCTGAGTCAACCGAACACAAAAAAAAAGCCTCGACTTTCATATTCTCTTTTCTAGGCATTTGGTATGGACGAGGGAGGAGTCGAATAGATTCTTTCAATTCACTTTACAGGGGAGGGGGCCGCCCGCCCCCTTAGACGTTTCAATCTGCAATTGAAATATCAATTCCTTTGTGAGGGAGGGGGTGGTTATTGAAAGAATCAAAAAAAAAATGGAGGGGGGGGGGCCTTCGGCTGACCCCTCCCTTTAATTGAAAGAATCAATTAGTTCACTGAACCTTTCAATTTTGAGCCTCACCATATTTCGTAAACAACAACTTCCGCTGAGCTCCTTCTGAGCTCGCTTTCGTGACTGTGGGGACCCCGGACCCCGGACTCTACAGCGTTTTTTGCCGTCACTTGTGGGGCCGCTAGTGGGGCATGTTTTAGCTAGTTTCGCGATCCGGTTGTTCTGGCATGGTCGCATGATGGGCGCTTTGCGGGCGTGGTGTTTTGGCTGGTCGGCTGTTTGTGGAAGGGGCGGCGTTGTGTAAGTCAGTTGGATATTTGGTGGGTTGCGCGTTGTCGGTTTGGGTATGCGACCTTGCGTTGGATAGTCTGTTGTTTTGTGTGTGGTGGGGATTGCTTCGTGGAATTTTAAAAGTGCTTAGAAGTTTATTGCGTTTTTTTTCCGCGGGCATGTTTTGGGTTGCGAAGTTGGTCGGGTCGGATTTTTTGGCAGGGCGTTCGTTGCCTTTTGGCGCAGGTTGGCAACACAAGCTTTTGGTTTCAGATTATTCCGTTTCGTGTCCAGGTCAAAGTTTGTTGGGTTTTTGTTGTTTCCAACTCAGATTTGCCTTGAATTGGCTGCAGGCGTCGTTGGCTGATGTGTCTGCTGCTCTGGGTGTACTGGGTGTCGCTGACAATTTCCTCGCATGGTGGAGATTTTGTCAAGCAACCCTGGTCCCGTTAACTTTATTTTCTGTGATGTGGGCGCGCGGTTGAGTTGATTGGAAAAATGCCGCATCATGATTTGAGTGCTTTTCTGGTCGAATTCGCCAGTTTCTTGATGTGTGGCCGGCCATTTGGAAGTTGAACCCCAGGCAGACATAATTCATAATTTTCTAATCGCCGAGCAAGACATGATTTCGTGTCCTCTCCACGCTGGACGAAGTCTGCCACACCCATGACGAGGCCGGACAAGGCCTCGTTGGAACGAGGCCGACTACACGTGTGACAAGGCCGAGTGGGGCCTCCAAAGACAGGCCATTTTCCGGCCGTCGAAACGAAACTGAACGGGGACCCGGGACCTTATAATTTGTTTAGAGGAACCCAAATGAAAGTGGATTAGTCACGTTGCGAGTTTTTGCATTCATAGGGCAGAAGGTGGCCTGGTTTGAATTTTAGGCCGCAGCTGTTTCCAAGTCAGCAACACAGCGGCAAAATCTTGGCCAGGCACGGGGCGCACGGTGAATTGTAGCAGCTGCAGCGCAGAGATTGGTGAATTTGGTGGCCCCCGGAAGCGAGGGCCAAAAGCACTGTGGAGCCTGGGGTTCCCGTAGTGGGCCTCCCAGTCGCCATTGGATGCAAAGGGAACATTTGGCGCATCGATGCTGAACTTGGAGGGTTTGATGTTCCAGCGGAAAACAGCAATCTCATCTCGAGCCTGGAATGGCTCGGGCTGACCGCGCGCTGAAGACTTTTGAGCGCAAGCGCTACAAAAGTGCCTCGAAGAGGCCCCTGTTGGGACCGAATCTGACCCCCAAAACGGGGGTCATGAGGCTGCGAAATAGTGGATGTTCAAGTTAACCCTCATTTTGGGGGTCAGATTCCGTCTCCATAAAGAGGGGCCGCTCTTTGACGCATTTTTGTAGCGTTTTCGCTCAAAAATCTTGAAAAGGGGTCAGCCCGAGCCATTCCAGGCTCGAGATGAGATTGCTACTGTCCGCTGGAACAGCCCAAGGAAAAGTTCTGGGAGGATTGCAAAGCACAAGCGCCTTCAGGGAAGGCCGAAATGTGGGTGGTGCAGAATACCAGGCAATGCTGTCGCACAAGTCCAAATCAGCCAAATCAAACTTCCCGAGTCGTTGATGCTTCCCTGTATGGCTCCTCCCTACCCTGGCAAACACAAGCTCTCTTGGCTGCCTCAAAGAGTTGTCTCAGAATCATCTGCATACAACATGCTTCAACAATGGTCTCAGGACTATGTCTAGGATCCTAAAGGAATAAATAGTGTTTTAGACACTATGCCCAAACGAAAAAGAATGATTTGGAAACTATGTTCATCCTACAAGGGTTTGGACCACTTTGGGAAACATGGTTTTGTTTCTCTTGGCTTGTTTGGTTGGAGACTCATATGTATATACATATAGGTATATGTTGGGACTAGTTTGGACAAACATTGTTGTTTTGCTTTTGAGGGTGAACTTATAAACGCAGCCGCCGCCCCTTTTTCAGAGTCTCTGACGGCCTGCTGAGTCTTCTCTACATGTACAACTTTACATGTAGGTATCTGAGTGAGTCTGGGCTTAGGCGATGGCTTAGGCACTCTGAGACTAGAGGCTTACAGTGGACACTTAAAGGCCTGGTGGTTATTTATCCTAACCCTCCTGGCTACTGCAATCAAATTGGTGGAACTACAGTAGGTACATCGAATCGTGCAGCAGAAGCATATACAACCACCGCAGTTGCAAAGGGAGGTGGTGGAGGTTGGTGATGGGTATTGACGGGCTTTTCAGCATTGAAAGCAGGCACAGCAACAACTTACACCAAAGCAGAAGTTGACACATCATTAACTGCAAGAGCAACTCAATATATACAAAGACTATATAACTGGGACTAAATGCCAACCAAGCAACTACCTATACCAAAACAAAAGTTGACACGGCATCAACAGCAAAAGCAAAGCAAGCTACGTACTTAAAGAAGTGAAATAGTTACAACCCGTACCAAAGCAGCAGTAGATACAAGTTGAGGGTTTTACAGTGTTACAGGTTGTTTAATGATGATGATGTTTGGCAATCTATATTTAGGAAAGCCCCTTGATAGCGAGTAGTCTTGAAGACTGCCAGATTTGATTTAACATAACAGGGCAACGTAGCAACACACAAAGGCCATGTGGTGCTTTTAAAGGAAAGGACAATGGAGATTGCATCTTTGGCGGGAATAGTTCATGAGATTTACAACTGCAGGATTTATAGAACTAGCCAAAGGGTAAATTCTTACATATTTACTTTATGCTAGCAATCTCTTTCACCAGGCGATTTCTGCAAAAGGACCAAACCCCAGTCCATGTTCACCACTCTCAGACTTATTGCTCTGATTGCAAACCATGAACAACGGGCGTTTGTGACACCAGCACCTTACGGAAGCATTGCACCACACTTCCCAACCATCGAACATGTAGATAAATGTTTGACGTCAGGCTTGAAACACCAGGTATTAAAAAAAAGAAAAGACTACTGCAGAATTGCAAACAATAGTCTAACATGATGGGGGGGACACCTGTCCTACTGCCAACAAGCTACGGTTGCTACAGTTGAACCGGAAATCCAACCAGTCTTTGCAATGGCTCTTGCCGCAATACTCGCTTGTGATCCCAACCTGAAGCAACAGCATGATGTCCACATTCAAGAACTTACTGAACATATATATATATACATATACGTATTTACAGCACCAGAAAGAAGAAGTCAAACAATGCCAAACATCCACATCAGCTACAGCGGCTACAGTAAGTCTCCTGCCACATCGTCAAGTCTTACAAAGGTGGCAGCACCATAAGTGTAGATACATCCTGGGTCCCCAGTTGGGCTCGAGCCTGCCAGATTTGACAAGGTGGTGAGGCCACAATTGCGTGCTCCATGCGTGGGTTTGCGTTTGCAGGTTTTGGATTAAACATGTACAACCCCTCACCCCAATTTAGACATGCACGATGAAAAGCGGAAAGCTTCTGATTCTTGGCACTTGACAAAAAAGACTTTGACTCTACTACACATTACAAGTTGCTTCAGGGTTGGCAAAAGGTTACAACACTGCAGCATTGGCAAAAGCAACGCACATGTGGCTAGGAGATGTACACGGGACCGCTGAAAACATCATCCACTAACATATAGTGTTGGATCATATCCACATCTACTATACACCAATGCGGGGATGAACTATTCTTCAGATGTATGATGAAAAAAAATGTCCTGAGCCCGTTTGACTTGTTAGGAGAACAGCTGATTCCCAAAATATGCGTCATCGGTGTCAGGGATTGCCTTCGGCCTAAGCAAAACATCGAGCCGACACGTGCGCGAGAAAGTGTTGCCATCTAACGAATGTTTGAGCGACAGCACGAGGCTCCATGCGCCAAGTAGCCAAACCAAACAAAAACCAGCCAATACATAAAGCCCAAACCTGTTTTAGATCTTTTCTGAAGACGCGCAGCACCAAAAAAACAAGTTTAAACTTGGAAAAATCATGTTTCCACGTTGGTCTCTGGTGGCCTGTGATGACGGTGTCTTTCTTGGCGTTTTATCAAAAGGACGGTTTTCCATTGAGCTGTTTGAGCACTAGAAACGCCACTCAAAGTTCAGTAAAATCGTGATTTCCTGCACACTGCACAAAAACAAGCATCTCAAACAGGACAAAACACGACACAAACCAAAGGAACAAAAAGGATAAAATGGACCCGGGGAAGAATTACATTCTGTGCCAAAACACTTTCGCAATCTTTCGCGGACAGAACTGATGTTGCAAGCTTTCGCGCGTTGAAAGTTTGCGAAGTCTTTCGCGAATGCATCTTACGTTAACCTCTCTTTAGATTGCTGCATGGGAAGTGTTGGCCGCTGCTCAACCAAAAAGGAGCTCCAGTGCCCACAATGTCCACAATCCACAATCATTCTGACACAAAGTTCATTGTAAAACAACGCACGAATCAAGTGAACCTGCGGGAACAATGCGTCTGTCATGCAAAAAGTCTTTTGCCGGGGTCGCAAAGCTGAGGCGTTCCCAATACATGCGCGACTGCCCTTCTAGATGTTTCTAAGAATCCAAACATGAATGCCGTATACACTGTGTACACTGTATGCCGCACCTGGAAGAAAGCCATTGCCATTGAAACCATGCTCGCAAAGACCTCCTCACAAGACATGCTGCATGGTCATTAGTACCAGGGCTGAAAGGCTTGATTGACGGCTTTATAGACCTTTATGACTTTATGTAGCGGTGGTTTGGTATCACTGGTGTCATGGAGAAGGGCCAGTACTGAAAAGCACGACCACAGTATGATTCAAACAAGCCTGGAATATCTGAAACAGTTGGGCAAACTGACCACTGTGAAAACCAACGCCATCCAAATCAAGCAACATGTTAAACAGGCCTGCCTTTGGTGAAATTTCCGTGGACAGTCTTCAAGCAATGCGGATTGGGTTTCTTCTTGGTCCCCTTCCTCAGGAACAATGTGGGCATGCACAGCAGCCTATGCGCCTAGAACTCAGCTAGGGGTCTTGTCCCAGGATAAGTTTGGGCACCAGTTGCCTGCACGCTGACAGCAAGCTCAAGACAAAGTAAAGACCCAGGAAGAGCCAGCACATGATCAGTCTGAGAACTGTGCCCAAGGATAGCCATGCATAGGGTTTGCAGGCAATATACCGCGGATCACACTGCAAGTCCTCTGTCATCACTTGTCCGTTTAAAGTTTAAAGGCCTCTCAGATTTCTCAGTTACTCCACTGGCCAAGTGACTTCAACTATAGCTGTGCCAAGCGACTGTGCAAGGTTGAATTCCGACAAAATCGCCCTGTCCACACATCTGACAATGTCTGACATTGTCGGGAAGTTTGAGTTGCTCGGCAAGAGTTTTCAACCCACGCTGCAACCCACGTGCCTGTTCCTGGATTATAGGCATCTGATCTGGGTTGGTTGCCTTCCCAAAGTCATACGTGATAAACTGGCCAAACTCCCCTTGCACTGCGTGCGGCGTGCCGAGAATGGTATCCGGATTGAGGACCTTCATGCGATGGCGAGTGACTACATCTATGTTGTACTTGCGGGTGTCCCTGATGGGGTTCTGCAAGTGCTCTGTTAGGATTTCTGTGTGCACATACTTGATGGCACCATCAAGACTGGCAATGTCATCGTCCTCCATTGGATGTGCATCAACTCCAGCAGCCGCCATGCAGCGGAAGACATCAATATCAAAAGCTTTCTTCAGCATTGAGCTGCTAAGCCCGGCATTGGCCTTCGGGACAGTTTTGGGTTCGGCGGTGTTCGCCACAGCTGCTGCACTTGCAAGGCTGCCTTGCATCCCAAAACTCACAAACTTGCACTGGCCAACAGCTACTGATACTAAACACCAGAAGAATAAAACTTAAGAAAAATAACAAAAAGAATAAAATTTAAGTGTAAGTAAGCGGCCTACAGTCGACACACCGCTTGGTTGGTTTTTGTCTTCATGTTTTGGTTATCACGTTCATTGTTTTCCCCTTGTCTCCATTACCATTGTTCCTTCATTCCTGTCTCATAGCTTTGGACACAAAGTACACGCCCCAAGCATTGATGCTGTCTGGCACTTCTGCCTCCCTTTCACCAGGTGCAACTACAAATGGTCCTCAACTTTTACTGGCCTTCCAGTCAGGCCAGGGACTGCCGCGGCTCCGAGAAACAGAAGAAAAAAGGAACAATGTGGCACAGGGTGTCACCCTGGCTGCGGTGGTCGCGCTTGCTAGCAATGATGAAAGCGAGCCACATTGGTAAAAATGAGGACTAGGACAAGGAGGCTTTGAACTGAGGCGACGGTGGGCGAACAAATATCCCGACAAGTTGGTGGACAAGGGGACTTTCAGGGATTGCCACAGGATTTGCACAAAAACAAGGCGAAGAGGCGATCTGGCTGCAGTTCTGTAAATACCAAGGTGCTACAGTTCTAACTGCGCTAGCCTGCGACAACGGATGTTGGGAAATCATCTGCGCCATTCTTCGCGGAAAAAAGTATCTTTCGCGGCCCCATCGCGAAGCTCAGTGTCAGGGCTGTCCCTACTCAGGTTGCTAGTCTGTGACAGTGGGGACAGGAATCGGAGAATCCTCTACGCACTGCGAGGTCTGGGTACGGAAATGTTGAAGCTTTAGTTCGTTAGTCTGTGACAGTGGGGACACGCGGGGACACGGAGGATTGCCTTGTATTTCTACCATTGGACCATTGGTCGGTCGGTAGAAAAGAAAACATCTGAAAGCGAGGACCTTCGATAAAAAAATCAAATACTTTTGCGAACCTCATCGCGAATCTTTTGCGGATGGCTTTAACAACATCTATATATACTTCTTACACTGGGTTTTAGATCAACTCTTATAAATGTATATATATATACTAGTTGCATATTTGAGTATTTACATGTATTTACTAAATAAACAAACCCAAATATGTCCTATGCACAAGGACACCAAAACTGTGCTCAGGATTCGACTGGCCCGAAAAATTTTAAGGAAATCCGTGGTTTGGCCGTTGTCTTCGCACTTTTTTGACTCGCGCTCTTGTCCGCTTCGTCCAGATAGGCACCTGCAGATTTAGAAATACAACTCTGATTGAGTGGGAACATGAAAATTCATTTCAACTGAAGTGATTGATGACACTCATGTTGCTTCCAATGGATGGTTGATTTAATGAAAACTCTCGACTCGCTGCGTGTGCCAATTTTTCTCCCCATGGCATGATCTTTGGTCTAGTCTAACATGAAAAGTGCAAGCCTTTGACCTGGGACCTTGGACCTTTGACCCAGGACTTGGCACTATCATGGCAACGAATCCCCACACTTGGTGCTTTCACCAAGAAAACCCAGAATGCCAATTCAGCTTCGCTTCTCCCAAGTCCATCTTCTTTTTGTGGGCTCAGGGTGGCAAGCTGACAAAACAACTGGCCTTAAGAAATCACATCTTGAAAGTCGAGCTGCCCAGACAGACCGAAGATTCTTGTGGGTAGTGGCAGTCAATTGTTGCCAATCTTGGCACCAACTAGCAACTCTTTTTTGGGCTGACTGCCTGGCATCTGTTGGCTTCATTAGTTGCATTCCAGAAGCTGCTTCAAAAGCAGTGCACCCAAAGGACCATAAATCGACGGCTGCTGTGAGGGCCTTTCTCAAGGATGCATCATCCTTCACACACCATAGTTCTGGAGGTCTGTACAAGGGTGTGCAATACTGATTGAAACGGAGCTGGGCCTGAGAGCTTTCAACCGACGGTTTTTGGCTAACCAAAGGTTCCACCATTCCCAGGTCACACAGCCTCAACTGCTTCAGTTCCATGCACCATAACACATTGCCTGGCTTGATGTCCAGGTGCAAAAGACCTGCTTGGCAGTGCAGAGTCCGAATCGAGGTTTGCAGCTGGGAGACAAATGGTTGAAGCATTTCTCTTGGCAAAGGGCCACTCACTTCTATCCAATCAGCTAAGCTTTTGCCACACAAAGACGTAGACATCCATGGGAAAGGAACGCCAGCAGCATCGGAGCTCAGCAGCTCTGGAAACCATTGCCGGTAGCTAGCAGGCAGCTTCTCCAGCATCTTGTACTGGCTGACTTCATGCCCAGCTTCCTCCTCAGCATGTCTACTGCGGAAGACTTTGAGAGCACAAGCCCGGCCACTGCAAAAAGCTGTGAAGACTTTGCCATAGGAGCCATTGCCCAAAACAGAGTCACTGCCAGTCTGCTCAGGCATGGCAATGGTGTAGGGCCCTATTTTCAAGTTCTTAAGGCTTTGATCCTGATCACAATCACGTTTGTCATTGTTGTCTTCATGAAGCTTGTCGCGTGGCTCCAGGCTCCCTCGCACAAACATGCCACACCTGACCATCTTTTCCCGCTGGGCTTGGAACTCAGCTGCACTGCGTGCCTTGTATATGGCCTTCTCAGCTTCCGGCAGAGCAGACCATTTCCTACCAAGTTCTTTCAACTCAGCTGCAAAGGCTTCCCTCGACGAGCCAGTTGCTACAGACGACTGCTCCTGTGTGAACAAGGCAAAGGCTCGGCGAGCTTTGGGTATCAAACCCTCCTTCACTGCCTCAGCCCTGCTGATCTGTGCTTTAAGTTTGGCCTTGCAAGTCTTTTGGAGCTTGGACCTTTGGACCTTGGACCTTTGGACCTTGGACCCAGAACCACCATGTCCTTGGAACTTGACGGTAGTTTTCCCCCTGAGACGATGCGTTGGGGCAAGCGCTGCCATGGCTCAGTGGGAGGAGCTCTGCTAGGGCAAACTGTTGGCACCGCTCACAGCCAATAAACAAGTCAAACTTTCACACTGAATGACTGACGGCGACGTTTCCCTACTTGCATCATGCCAAAGACCCATCAATGTTTGCAAAGCACCCCTCACATAACATTTTCCGCTACTTTTTGCGATTTGTGCTTGTGAAGGGTCAAATATGCTAGCTGAAGGGTTCCGCCATCAAAATTGAGAGGCAATGCTTGCCGCTGACCTACAAAGCTATGGCGGACCTTGGACCTTGGACCTTGGAACCACCATTTCAGCCGGATTTGTTCAATCAGCTGGGCTTGCAGGCTCCATCAGATCCAGGTCTTCCTCGTCCTTGCCTTTTGCAAGGCCGGCAAGAACATCTGGAAAAAATTTCTTCACAATTGCAGCGCTTTCCTCTGAGTACAAAGACGACCCCTCCAAGGCCACAAGAGCGCATGCAGCCCGATCAGCGATTGCCTGCAACCAGTGTAAGTGTTCTTTGTTGTGACCTGCCAGGAAAGCAAGCCGCTAAAAACATACAGGCAGCCACTTTTTAAATGTCTTTATATATACATGCTTATGTTTTTCGAATTCAAGAACAACTGAGGCGGTGGCAAAGAGCATGATAAGAAACCCCCCGAGTAAGCGCTGCTTCCATGAGCGCACCAGATCCAGGAGAGAGGTCCAGAATCGCTTGGAACTTGAAATCGTCAATGAGTGCGCAATAGAACGCGATCGGTTTCGACTCATGCCAGAAGAGTGGCACGTCTTGGGGGCCATTGCGATCAGTCCAATCCTCTGGAAGATCTGGTTTGGCAGCTTTCCCGCTTGGGTCCAAAACCCGACACTTCTCATCGGCTGAGATCAGGGGAATCTCGCTGACAGACCGGAAAGTCACACCACTGTATGTGCCTTGGTATGTGCTTTCTTCACCGCACGCGGTGAAGCACTCCTTCTTGCTGGCTTTGATTTTCGAGCGCTGCACTGGGCAGCGAATGGCAAATGCCTCAACCTTGCGAGCTGCAAAAGGAACACGCCTTGACCTGCCAGCACGTGGAGGGCACCCTCCAGCATACACAATCGTGCCCTCGCAGGCATGGGATTGGCTCAATGACTCAAAAGGTGGTCCTCCTGAGGTTCGAAGAAGGAGTCGGAGAGAAAAAAACACTGTTGGGCCTCCTATGAAAAATCACTCAAATACGACTAAAACAATTGCATGCAAACAGCCAAGGCTCATTCAACCTGCGACACTCTATCAACCGACCATCAAATGCAATCACAAAATCTGCGGTGCCAGTTGCACTGGCGCTCATGAAACCCAGAATATCCTTCCACAAGGACGTTGGAGGCGCGGTTGGTGAAAGCCAAGGCTCGCTACCACTTTCTGAGATCAGGTCGGCTGAGGCTGTCAGGAGCCTGTGGCTTGAGTTGAGGAGGCCATTGTGTGAGAAAACTTTCCCGGAACCACGGTAGGCTGCTAAGGGTCCATCTTTGGTCCAGCTTTTCGGGACTCCTAGCGAAACAAACTTCCTTCGCTCTGCCTGCACCATCTTCCAATGGCGCTCTCTGAGCTAACGCCTGTGCCACTGCCTGTCCAGCTGCCTTCCGTTTCTCCTTCCCCATGAAGCAGCTGCTTGGACCCTGGACCTAGGACCATGAACCTTGAACCTAAATCGCAGTCACATGATGCAAGCAAGTCTGGCTGACTCTGATGAAAGCTCGGCTAGCCGTTCTGACAATAATCACTGACTAAAAACAAAGCCGGACCACAAGCCTGAGCAAGGTGTGCAGCTGAACAGCCACCTTGGTTGGGCGCCATGATGGACAAGTGCACAGGCACAAACATGACTTATGCTTCAAGTCGTGTTCTTGGGAAAAGCAGCAGCTAAATGTGATTTGACAAGACTGACTGAAACTTCCAACCCACAAAAAAAATCTGATAAACTTCATTGACTACCTACTGGTTGGCCCGGTTCCCTTTTCAATGCGAGCAAATTGCAGATCGTTCGTCCTTGCATGGCAGGCTAAAGCATCTTCCACGCAAAAGCTTGCGCAAGTAACTATTAAGCAAAGCGT